TGTCACTTCAGTGGGTATCCTTGGCAGGATACTTAACCTCTCTTTGCCTCAGTTTCCTCATTTGGGAAATGAAGCCAATATTATCTATGTCCTGGTACAATGAGAATTGTATGACAGAAGGAATGTCAACTTGCACATGGTGTCTCTGGATCTCACTCCATGCGTGAGACTCTTTCTTGTCATAATTATTATTATTGCCCATTTAGATTACTGTGTGTCCTGATCAAGGGGGCTTCAGGTCATTTTAGGGTTTCTTCTCTTTAGAATACAACCCTGAAAGAGCCAGGCCCTTAGTGGAAGCATGTGATCCTTCTTTAGAAAGAAAGAGCAAAAGACCAGGAGTCAGGAAGCCAGGTGTTTCTGTCCCTCTGCAATTTTTTGGTTAAATTCTAATGCCTAATGCCATGGCAGTTAGGAAGTGGGGCATCTCAAAGGTGATTAGGTCACGAGAGTGGAACTCTCATGAATGAGACTGTGTGCAGAGAGTCTGTAGGCCCCTTCTGCCAGGTGACAGGGTGGAGTCAGCCATCTGTGCACCAGGAACTAGGCCTGTGGCAGACAGGGAATCTGCCGGCATCTTCATCGTGGACTGCCAGATTCCAGGACTGTGAGGGGTTCAGTGCTCCTGTTTAAGCCATGCAATCAAAGGTGTTATTTTACAGCAGCCTTAACTGACTTAGACTCCGGGCTTAAAACTGATCCTAGTTCACACCGTGACTTGCCTTTGCCAACTTATCTTTCTGTTTTAATTGCCCATTTATTGGCATTTATGGGCATTCAATCTTCCTTTCTTCCGGGGATATCCTGAGGGTAAATGAAACACAGACCTGAAGCGTTCTGCAAATTTGAAGGTCTTATATAAAAGTAAGGCTGATTTTTTTATTATTCTATATAAGTTGGTATCTCCTCGTGGCCCACCCAACTTCTGCTTGCTCAGCTAAGATCCTGCATCTAGCACCTAGCTCACTGCTTGCTCATGTGTTTACATATTTACCTATTTTTCTACCTGCTCCTTACTATTTCTTGGTTCAGGCAAGCCATGACACAGAGCTCTCGCTGCTTCCAGTTACCTAGAAAAACATTCTTCTGCTTCCCACCTGGCATGATGGCTGGAGTATTGATCTGTCAGTTAGATAAGTGAGGTGCCCTCAAGAGGGAACCCTGAGAGTTCTCATCCACTCCTGGTTTACATACTGCTCACTGTCTAAATGCAGTATGGTACCATGCTTAGATGTATTCTAAGATGTGAAGGGCTCAAAGGCTCCCTAGTGACCTGGGCATCCCTGAACCTTGGGGCCTGTATCCTCAGGGGACCAACCCACATGCTTTGCCTGGGCTGGAATTTCTCAATTGCTCCAGCCCTGAATCCTTCACTGCAATTTCTTGATTAATCTTGGTCCCTTGGGTTCTAAATAAACTAAGTACCCAACACTTACCTTCCTTCTTAAGATCCTGCATGGAATATGCAAGGTGGGCAAAGATGGCACAGGAGGGAGGGTAGGAGGGAGGGAGAGGTGAGGCTGGAGGGCTGTTTTGTTCTACCATCAGGCCACAGCCCAAAGCCGAGAGCTCACCCCCAGAATCTACAAACAACTCCCCACGGAGAATCCTCACCAAGCTGGCAATGGGCTCCTCTTTTCCAGGGGCTGGTGAACATGGTGTGGGGGTTGGCATCTCCTCTTTTCTACCCAGCCTTAGGATGCCAAGCAGATGAGGGTGAGGGCACAGGCTCCTCCCCATTTATAAGGCAGCTGCCACCAAAGCAAAACATATTCCCTCTCTTCCCCTCCAAACCAAACAGAGTTTGTCAAACAGATGAATAAGAAGAAAAGGGACAATTTTCCTTTATGTTAATAAATTGCTTTGGCCTAAAAAACATTAATCAATTTCTTTGCAAAGCACACACACTTCTCCATACTCTGCTATTTGCCTGGCCTTGAAAAGAAAGTCACTTTCAATCCCCTTTAAACTGTCAAGACCAGTGGGGGCAGTCGCAGCGGGGAGGGGAGAGCTCCCCAATCCCCAGTGATTATAATGGAGCCTGGCTGTGTTTCCATAGAAACGCAGAGTGTGTTCTCCCCTGAGTGTGCAAGGAGGGGAGGGGTGGAGAGTGATGCCGAGGGCCAGGTGTGTAATCACTGAGGAGACAAAGGTGCAGATGAGAGGTAAGGCATGCCCCTAAGACCTGTAGATCAAGAACTCTGTTAAGAAGCATGGAACCAGCAGACTGCATCCCAAGGGTGACAGCACCTGCCACCATGGCAATTTGTACAACTACCCACAGGAAGTTATTAAGCCCCACACTCAGCTGTTTCTCGAGGTGGGGAGGAACCTGTCCAAGGTCACCTAGCCAGTGGGCAGTGCCACCTGGGTTCAAACCCGTGAGTGTTCAACTCCATCCTCTGCCTCGGGCTGCACTTCAAACTGTGTCCCTGAGATGGGGTTAGTGTCTGTCTCCTGGCTCTTCCCCCCAGGTTGGCCAGCTCTGCACACATTCTGGATTCACCCACAGCTACTTTTCCTAATAGGTGCCGGGGCACTTATAAATCTTGACAAACTCAGGTGGTGTGTTGCTGGACTTGCTTGTTTGATTTCCAAAGTCAGAAATCTCACATGTGAGAAGAAATCTGCTGCTGCATGTGTTCACAGCATTGGGAGGAACAGATGGACAAGGACCTGGAAAGCAGGGGCAGTGGAGAGAAAGAAAAAGAATGTTTTGAAAGCAACCGTTAGTGTAATCGCTATCTAGTACCCTGGGAAGTGATATCCATGGGGACAGTATCCAGTGCGTCTAGCTCCCTGGCATGTGGATGGGACCTAGCACAGTGTTGGGCTCAGATGGAAGCATGGAAGGATGGATGGACAGGTGGGTGGGATGCTCTATACCATATAGCATGGAAAATTCTAGAACGAGCTGGTACTCATTCTCTTTGACTCTGCTTGACACTCTACAATGAAGATGGTTTTTCTGATGCACTAGGTAGGATGGTTCTATTTAAGGGGAATAGTGACTATGAATGCTCCCTACTTGTGAGCCATGTTTTCCCAGTGCTGCAAGGGTAAGAATCAGAGCTTGCAACTTGCTGCTTTATATTCCTGCCTTGGTGCAATGCAGAGGTTGCTGGGGACAAGTCTCCCCAGACTCTGAATCCATCGTATTAAGTTTCCACTGGGAAGAACAAGGTCCAGGTGTTGCAGACAGAAACCCACTCATCCCCCCAAGACTGATCAGGGTGCAGCATCTGTGATGCATACAGAAGTATGAGAGTCACTGTGTGAGTCTGTGGGTGTCTCTGCCTGCTGATCTGGCACATCCTGGGATTTGGCTGGAAGGTCCCTAACAGGCACAATGTTGACCTGAGGGCTCAGACACTGGACTAGCAGAGCCAGGAGGCCCCAGAGAGTGCTGGTCTGTCTATCACTCCTTCCCCAGAGCCTAGAACAGGGATTGACACCTGGCAGATGCTCAACAGTGCTTGTTAGGGGTCAAGTCTAAGTACTTGATGCCCACTCTGTGGGGCACACTGTTCGGGCACTGCCTCTTCACCCTCTGAGTGGGTGCCCTGCTCACTTGGTACATGAAGAATCTGCTACCCCAAAATGGGAAAAGACTCCCCAAGATCTCACTGCTGATAAGCTGTGGAGGTTTGCTTTGAAAAATACTTCCTGTTTTCTTCCATCATATAGGTCACCCACCAGGATTATGTCCCTACAGAGAGGATCAGGGAGGAACAGAAAGAGAAAGAATGCAAGCAGAAGAGAGGAGAATCTGGGGGAAGCTCATCAAAAACCCAGAAGTGGGGCAATTAGACGCCCTTCCCCAGGGCTCCCCATGAACCCGTCCTCATCCTGCTGCCTACAGAACAGACTGCTCCCCTTGTGTCTCTCAGCTGGTTTCTTCCCTCTCAGAATGCTCAGTGACAAGGCATCTTTGGGGCTTCATTAGTCACATGGGCAATTGTGATTTACCTTCTCAGCAGCGCTAACCTGAGTTCTGAGAGGTGATATGAGGATAGTAGGCGAGGGCAGGTGAGCCTTTAATGAGGGCCGCTTTTCAGCCCTTGCTGGGGATGGAGGCTCTAGCCAGTCATGCCACTTCCCAAAGCAGCGTGGGTAGAGTCTTTGGTCTTCTGTGCACATCATTTTCTTCCTGGCTGAACAGGAGTCTGTTCTGCCTTCTTCATGACCCCACATTCCCTCCCCCTCCACTCCCCCATGTGGGCTCCTCATCCTTGGACCTCCAGAGAACCCTGGTGCCAAAGCAGGCAACGAACACATCTGAAAGCTTAAGGCCTCCTCCAAGCGCCTGGCAGAGGTGAACCTCCTTGGGGGAAGAGAACTGTTAAGACGGGGGAGCTCCTACCCACCGCAGCCATGCCTAACAGGAACCCCTCTTTGCAGCCAGATTGACTGGGTTCTGGGAGGCTGAGCAGGGCCACAGGTAGGCTAAGGCTGGCTCCCCAGCTTCTCTGACATACAAAGCTCAGGGGGAACACAGCACCCACTCCTCAGAGATTGAAGCCACTGCTCCAACTCCCTGCTCACCTCATCCTGCTGGCTACAGAACAGACTGCTCCCCTTGTGTCTCTCAGCCAGTTTCTTCCCTGGAAAGCAGGGGCAGCAGAGAGAAAGAAGAAGAATACCCCAGGGTATCCAAGACTTTTCAGTGTGGCCGTCCTGGGTGACTGGAATTCAAAGAGAGTTACTGACACTGTAGTGTTTAAACTTATCAAGCATCTCTGCCCGGCCTCAGGCTGCCTGGAAAGTGGGTGGAACCCAGTTGGCATTTGACCTTTGAGATAGCAGTTAATTCTCCTGCAACATCAGAGGGCAGGAGACTCTGTAGCCTCTCAGTCACATGGTCCCCACAGCTCACATCTACCTCATAGACCTTTGTGGCCATCAACACAGAATAACCAAGTCTATGCATTAATGATTCTAAAATGCACAAATGAAAAAAGGAGACTGGTCCTTCACTAAAGGAATATTTAATCTCTCAGAACAGAGGAATGCTGTTGCTCAATACACCTTGCTAAGTCGAGAAGCAATTTGAAGAGCAAGGCCCAGTACACCAGCAGTGCTGGTGATAATGACGATGCCAGCAACAGGGGCAAAAGCAGGAAGGCTGGCCCCATGCAGGGCACTGCTCTGGGTACATCATCTGTATCATCTCACCTTACACATGCCACCTCCCAAGAAGGTGCCATTATTGCCTCCATGTCACAGATGAGGAAACCGAGGTCAGTTTTATTTGAACGCTCCTTTTATTACTAAAATATTTTATAATGAGGCAGTTTTCATGCCTAATGCATAATAGCCTACATTAACAATGAGGACTGCAGATCCACCGAGACGGCTTCCAGTATTTACTGAACACCCAACAGAGTCTCTCTGTTACATGTCATATCCACACTTGGTAACAGCCCTGTGAGGAACGCACTGCAGGTGTCAGTTCAATCTATGAACAATGAGGGGTTCAGAGAGGTGCCATAACCTTCTCAAGGCCACACAGTCAGCCCCTGGGTCTCTAAGGACCAGTGACTTGATTCCAAAGCCTGTGCTCTTCGTGCCAGTTGGGGACCTGGTGATGGAAAATCAATGTGTTTTGATTTGAATTTACTTTTCTTCCTTCCTCTGTTTTTCAGTGTAGAGTATGATTTTCGGCAGCAGGAAGGAAGGTTCCATGAAGTTCTGCAGAGTCTAGAGGAAGTGGAACCAGTTGAGGAAACATCTTCCCCACCAAAGTCCCCAGCAGAACCCCCGGCCCCTGAGAAACAGGATCTGAGGCGGAAAACCAAGAAGGTGAAGAGGAAGTGCTTCTGGTGGATCTGAGCTCTTGAGGTCACCCTCCAAGCTCCCGCCTTTCTGTCTGAGCCTCCCGGGCTTCTTTGCCAAGGCCCGGGCTGGGAGCCCTTGACCTGTGTGGCCGCTGCTGGACACTCAATCACCCACCCGATCTGAGTGTGTGCCGCTGCTTGCTGAGGACTTCACAGACTCTGGTGTGACCACGAGCTGAGTTCCCTGTCACACATGGCCAGGCCTCGTCCCCATCTGCTACATCCAGATTCCCCCCACGGGCAAAACTCCCACGGCACTTTCCCACACCGCCATGATGCTGAGCACGTCATCCCGTCCTGATCTCATGAACTCAGAAGGAAAAAAAAAAAAGAAAAAAAGAAAGAAATCCTGTGCAGAGCAGGAAGATAGAGGAGGGTTATAAGCAGGTATCCTGGGGAAAAATCAGATGAAAACCCCAGGAGTTTCCTAGCTGTCAGCGCACATGGGCACGAGAGAAATGCAAGGTCATCCTAACACATTGGGGTCCTTTTCATTTTTATTTAGCCACTCCATCCCAAACCAAGGAGCACTGTCACACGGTGTGGGCCTTCAGTCCATGCAGAGTAAGTTCACCCCAGGGTATCCAAGACTTGTTAGTGTGGCCGTCCTGGGTGACTGGAATTCAAAGAGAGTTACTGACACTGTAGTGTTTAAACTTATCAAGCATCTCTGCCCGGCCTCAGGCTGCCTGGAAAGTGGGTGGAACCCAGTTGGCATTTGACCTTTGAGATAGCAATTAATTCTCCTGCAACATCAGAGGGCAGGAGACTCTGCAGCCTCTCAGTCACATCTTATCTGTGACGTATAGAAGGTGAACCTGAGATACAACACTCCTTCTCATCCATGCATTCCTGTGCCGGCCTCGTAGCTAGGAAAACACACACCATTCCACTTGGTCTCCCTTCCCGGAAACCAGGCAACGGTCACCTGATTGAAGAGGCAGCAGGACTGGGCATGAGGATATACATTTCTCCATTCTAGCATTGAAGGCCTTCCCTTCCCAAAATCTGAGTTCTTTGGATCTGGCTCTTTCTTTTGACAGGACCCCTCTACCTGGGGAGTCCAGGCAAACTCGTATGGCTGTGTCAAGCCCTAACTTAGAAGGAAGTAATTGTTGCATACTCTTGAGGCTGAGGGGTAGGGTGGCAAGGCTCAGATTCGTACACATTAAACTCCTTGCTGGCCTGTGGTTGGATTGAAGCCACAGAAATGAGTCCTAAAGCTAACTCAGCTTTAAATGAGGAAGGCACTTCAGGGACCCTTGGCCCAGGACCCAGGGTCTCAGTGAAAGCCTTGGTAGTGCACGGCATCCCGTGTGTACATGGGACGTGTGTGCCCTGCTGCCAACCGAAGCTAATTGAGCAAACCACCCTGCAGCTTCACCTTCCCCTTCCCCTCTGAAAGGCCTGCAGTGCACAAAGCTATTTCAGGGAGAGTGAGAGGGAAATTTGGCAAGGAATCTCAGCTTGCACTATTTAAGTCTTTGAATGTCATTCAAGATGCTCTTGTTCTGCTTCTAGTATAATGTTTAAACCCACAAAATGAGACCGGAATACATAACGTCAAGTTAGAATTAAGATAAATGCACTTGTCATACTTAAGAAACCACATTTCAATAAGACATGCTACCACTGGCTACAAGCCACCGATCTCTCTGTCTGTATCCATACAGTCTGCTCTCAGTGGGCCCCAGCAATGGAAAAGAACAGCGCAGAGGATAATCCAATAGGGCAAAATCATTTGAGATCTCTTATGTAATTTTCTCTTGTAGTAGAGTTTCCATCTTAATTTGGTTTGCTTACGCTAATTTCAAATGAATTTATATTCTTGGGCATCATGTTGGAATGGAAATAAGCCTGTTTCCAGAATTAAGACACCCAGGCAACAGAGCAGTCTATTCCACTAACCTTGTGCAAGTTGCTTAACTTTTCAGGGCCTGTTTGTCCATCCTTGAATGGTGAGAGTGCCTGCTTTACCTACTCTGCAAGATCCGGGCAACTTCCAACTTCAAATGAACTCACTCAGCTAGCGAGAGCATTTGCCCCAGTGAGCCTGGGAGAATACAGCTCACACAAAATTAAGAAGCTCATGGCATCACAAACATATCCAGTTGGGGACCTTGCATCAACCCTCAACTGAATTAAATGAAATCAGAACTGAAAAATGTTGATGTTTCCAGAAATAAAACCAACTGAGGCTCTACTGATTCTATACCAAAGCACAACACTGCATTGCTTGGGCCACCCACCTGAAAATGAGACGGAGGTCCCTTCTGAAAATCAAACATTCAAAATCATTATGAGGAAAAAGGATTTGATAAACACCTTCCTGCCGGACAAAAAGGATTGTTTCTGTGCTTAAACAACTACACATACATACACCAAAACTCTACGTTCACCTCCCCATTGCAGACCGCTACTCCTTGTAAAGTATTGGTGACATCGACCATGATATTCTACAGAAATGCTTCACTGGAGGCGATATGGTTTTGTGGAGAAAGATTAACTTAGCAAAAATTGCTTTTATAAAACTGAAGGGGAAAAGATTGATACATCAACTTAAATCGCAGGAATTTATGTAGCCGCTTTCTCTGTAGTTAAACAGTGCGTACTGCTGCCCTGGATCTCCGTACCTGCTCCCGTATAGAGCATCTTCTTAAAGACAATGTACTAATGTAAGGTTTTGTAAATTTCTAAACCGTTTTAAATGGAATATTATCTTTTGCAATAAACTTACATATTTTTCCTAGGTTTGAAGTCTCCATTATTGGAGGGGTTGATTTGGATTATAAGCAAGCCTTGACGGTCCTGGAGGGCAAGGATGGCATTTGTTATAATTGCTTTAAGGCATTTTTCAGGGATAAAGAAAGAACAGATTTAGAAGTTAGTGTCTCGATGGTCACATGGATCCTCACCATGTGAGGGTGGTGACGGGAACCAAGGCAGGCATCCCCAGTTGCCTTCAGAGAGACACTCGTTCAGGATTTTTATCATTAGGCCCATACACCTGGCTCTGATTTGCTCCAAGTTTTCCTTTATTTCCTGCTTAATTTGTTTGTTTTTAAAAGGTTCCTTTGTGTCACCAATACAAAGAAAAGCAGAATCATCTTCCAAAAATAGGAAACAAAATAACAGTAACTTTATTATATTCTGAAGTGTCTGTGCTTTTGAAAGTTAGGGGTGCTGGGCCCTAGACCAGCTCTTTATGAAAAGGGGTATGAGCCCCATTGAGTGCATCCTAAAGCCACCTTGACACCAGACCATGTTCCACCTGATGAATCAGGAGGCATGAGAGAGAAATGAAAAGAAAACACTTCCTTATCAGGTGAGCCAACCCTTCTCCAGAACCAGCTGCACCCCAAGCCAACGTGTGGGTGTCAGGAGACTCGGGCCCCCACTTCAGGAAAGACCAATTTAGGGGGGAAAAAACCAAAACCAAAACCTGGACCAGGAATCAGAAATCTTGGGTTTGGTAGCATTCTGCTCCCTTCTCTGTTCTAGGTGACCTTGGCCAATGGCTTAACCTCTGTGAGCCTCTAACTCCTCTTTATATAAAGCAGAACCCCTACCTGACCAGGGTGTCCCCACAATCACATGAGGGAAAGTTCTGAGCCTGCTGTGCGGCACACAGCAGGCGCTCAGCAACGCACTCGCCTTCCTTCACTGGCGACTGAAGTAAGTTGGGAGAGAGGAGGGGGCGGCTGCAGCTGGCGCTAGACACAGGCTCAACGTTTCCTCAGGGTGAGGGACAAATTATTCCTGACCTTATTAGAACCATCAAAAACCATGGTGAAACTTGGTGAGGAACCAAGTGTAGTAACCCAGAAGAACACCAGGCACATGGGACCCACTCGCAGTCTGGGATCCGAGGATTCTTGGAACACAGAATCACATATCCCAGAAATGAAGGAGACTTCAAGAGCCAGGTCCCTTCCACCTGAAGCAGGGTCCAGTTAGATGAAGGCAGCCTAGATGAGCTGCCAGAGCCTTGCCACAGTCACCCAGGGAAGGAGGTGCTGGGTGGGGGGTGATGTGTGAGGCTCCAGGTTGAAGCCCTTCTTTCCCCACGAGCTGAGCTCCAATGGTTCACTGCTCATGGCAACTCGATATCTGCTCCAAAGGTATTTTGTTTTAAGTTCCAAGAAACAAAGATGCTCTGTGATCATTATGCCCAGCCACCAGGAAAAGAGATGGGCACACGTGCAAACCCAGCATGGATCATGTGTGGGGCAAAGCACGCCACCAGCTTCACAGTCAGGACCCTGGTGGGTCCTCTCACCTCAGCTTTCCCTCCAGCTGCTTTTTACCAACCTGAGGCCTAAATTCCTGCGACACCTCCTGGTGCCTGGTACCCCTTCTTTGCATTTCCGTGCACCTCCTGTGGAAGGGCCTCCTGTTCCAAACCACTTTGCATCTCCACGGGCCTCCACAGGGATCTCCCAGGGGGCTGCCTGCTCCCACCCTCTGTCTCCTCCAGTACTTTCCCCTCATAGCACCCAAAGCAAGCACTACAAAAATTTAGAACTGAACCATGTCGCACACTGGCTGAAAACCATTCAGTGGCTTCCTGATAAACTTAGGGAGTTAAGTCCATGACCCAGAGGCTGGGAGGACCCTCCCCTGCCTCCTCTCCTGTGAACTCCAGGGGGCGCTTTGCCTCTGTGACCTCTGATCTTGTCAAGGCTCCTTGGGTTCCATGGACCCAACATGCTAACAGTCCCTAAAGGATCAGGGGACACACTTGTTTCTGCATGGAATGTCCCACACCACACCCCCACCCTGCCCTGTTGCCAGCTCCATTGAGGCTTGCCAGATAGTGACGCCAGTGACTAAGACCACGCCAAGGGCGCTTCTTAGTCTCACCTGGCAACAGAGACCTTGCTCTTTAAGTCCTTGGCACAGTTGTCCCTGTGCACTAATCTGTGTTCTTCTTTGTGGACTGCATTTCTTCCTAACCGGCCTGCGTCCTTTTAAGGTAGAACGGGCGTATTTTGGCCATCTCTGCATTCCCAGCACTCACCACAGTGGGATTCAGATATTTGCTGCAGGAATCAATTTATGGATAAATTGGATCCGGTGGGAGGAGACGGTAAGAAGTCACTATCAGCATTCCCTGTCCATCATCCTCACCCAGGACGGTGCAGTCTACACCTGAGTTCCCAGATATAGGGTCTTCAGCAGTTACTGTGCCCAAGGCTTCTCCTTCCACAGTGGCCACCTGGCTTTCAGATCTCAGGAACATGAACCCACTCTGGCCTTCTCCCTGCACCTTTATTCTGTACAGCCCAGCTTAATCTCATTTCAGAATAAATTGTCATCATAATTAAATCCCAATGCATTTGGAACATTTTACCAAGATACTGCCTCACTGTATGAGAGAGAAAATGAGTTTTGAAATTAAAGCAGATTGTTAACTATTTTTGCTGTAATGTTTCTATTCAAATGTCAACATTTATTTCATGTGACCCCATGCATTTGAGACCAAATGCAGTTTGAAAAGAGGTGGGGTCTGTCTATCTGGAGGAGCATTATGGGCAAAGCATTTTTCCTTGGCTTCCACCGCAACCAAAGTGAAAAGACAATACAATCAAACAAAAGGATTATATGCCGCAAAGTGAGGAAAAGCTTTTATTATCATGAGTGGCTCTCATAAATTCTCAGGATCCATAAGTATATTACATGAAATTTCACTCAAAAGAAACCCATAATTTTTTCTGCTGACAAAAACCTCAATGTGCATTTTTTCACATTGCCAGCTAGACACGGTGACCTCTGCTCTGCGCTTCATCTGGTTTCCCAGGTAGCGCACACAATGTTGTGACACCCGGTGATGCTTCCTCCATGAACCAGGTGGGCTGAGTCATTTTAATTGCTGAACTCCAGAGCGGTTCACACGCTGAGCGCCAAGCAACCGAACCCATGCCGCAGGTGGAAATCAGATAGGTGATGGAAGTGACCAGAAGTTACTTCTTGTTGTCATTATTTTCTGTTTTCTTGGTTTTGTTTTTCAAATAAAAAATAATCTACCTCTAGTAGCTGAGAACCTGGGATTAATGACAGCGAAAGCCCAGCCACGATAAACACAATTGACATTGCACACCCAGGGCAGCGGCTTCATCTCCACCAACAGGCACCTGTGCCCTCCAAGAGTGCTCAGGTGCACCTCATAGTCACTGTCTTCAATACACAGTCCTCGAGCCCCTTCTCTGTGTCAGGCCAGGTGCCAAGGACACTGAGAGAAGAGCACAGAGGCATCCTAGGCCTCAGAGAGCTTATGGTCCCATGAGGGGGCTGCCCACATAAGCAGGTCCTTTTCCAACTCACCCCACCTGCGTGTCACCCACCCTCCTTCCGACCCACTGAAGGCTGACCTTGTATCCTCCTGCCTCACTACAGGTTAGTAGTGAGAGGGAGGGATGCTATGCTCACCTCAACGGGGAGCTTCCAAAGTCCCAGAAGTCTTTACACAGCTCAGTTGCAAGACTTGGCCACTGTGAGCCCTTGTCTCCTTTGAGTGGACTCCCACGGGGCCTTCAAAGTCTTCTTCCTCTCCCTGTTGTCCTGCCCTCTCCATCCAGCCTTGTGGATCTCTCTAAGACACATACTGGGTCATTCCTTGGCTTTATGTCTCCAATGGCACCCACCAGCACCCTGGAGTTCAGGATGCCTTCCTAGCCACCAGGACTCCTCAGCTCATTCTCTCCAGCCTCACACTAGGGCCTGACATCCTCCAGGTCACTTTGCCCATCTCCAACTTACTGCCATCTTCCAAAGTGTCAGAGGCTATCAGAGACTGTTCCCTGTATGTGGGACACTGTCCCATCACCTGTCTACTACAGGAAATAATTTTTCATTAGGGGAGAATAGAAAAAGGCAGCCATGTTACTATTGGTAGTGACGATACAAGCTCAGTGCGTTGAAGTAACCACAGGCTTCACGTCTGTCATCTTGTTTATTCGGCAAACTATCACAAGGGAGCTGATGGTGACCCATTTTTTTCAGCAGAAAAATGGAAGCTTTGGGGAGAGAAGAAGTCTGTCTTGGTCTAAGGCATGGCGGGGGGGGGGGGGTGAAGTCTAGGTCTGCCAAACTGGGGGCCTGGACTCACACGCCAGACAGCAAGTTGCAATTTAAATGTCACCTCCTCTCTGTAACTTTTTCTGCTCATCTCCCGCCCCTGCCACGGAATTAGTCACTCCACCCTCTGAGTACCCACGGCACGCTGTACAGGCAGCCCCTTCTCATGTCATATGGAGATTTCTTTTGTCAACCTCGCGTGCTCATCTCTCCAGGAGTTGATGTCCTGTGAGACAGGAACTGTCCTTGCCATCTCTGGGACCCTCCCAGGGCTTCCCACACGACTTGAGAGGCTGGGAGAGCCACACATAGTTTGTTGAAATGCACTGGGAGCAAACAAGACTATGGAAACCTCAAGAGGAGGCCCAGCCCAGGGGAGAATCAGACCAGACCAGGCCGACCCACTCCTGCCGGGACCTTCTGCACAGTCTGAACCAATGCCTTCGCTCCATCCCCCACCTCCATCTGTAAAAGGAGCCATCTGTCTTCCCAGCTTTCCAGGCTGTTTAGGAGAGTAAAATTATATACATGAAAATGCTTCGGGAAGTTTGGCTATCTCATTAATTCCTATTTTTAAAGAAACAGCGTTTGAGGTTTTCTCTTCTGATCGTAAAAGGAAAGCAGAATTATTTTAGAAAAAGCCAACTCCAGAAATGGGCAAGTCACGTG